CGCCGCGCCGCGGCACTCGGCGCCGGGAGTTGCAGGGGAAATGCACTGGCTAAGGGACCAGCCACCGTCACCACTGCTGGGGGGTGGCATGTCCCCAGCCCTGCGGAAATTAACGAGGGGCCCTGGGAAATACCCAAGAGCTGGTCACCAGCAACCTTATTCTCTGCTCCTTGTTCAAGCAGCTCGTCAGCATCTCAAATCGCACAGGGGAGCCTTGCTTATTCCTATAAATTTCCGCCCCTGTTCTAACTGTCGGTATCTTACAGCAAGGGCCAGCCCGCTGCTTGTTTTCCCACCAGTTCCTAGCCCCTCCCAAGGCTCATATTTAATGTCTGATCTGCAAGCGAGAAATGCAGGCAGGGAGAGCCAGCCCCTGATGGTTGCGGTGAGGTGTAATCACTGGCAGGAGGGGAGTTCAGCCCTGTGGGGCTCTGAAACTTGTTGTGGGTGTCACGTCCTGCCCTGCTGATGCCCGATGGGCTGCAGCTCGCAGGAATGATCAGCCCCCCGCTTGTAGCTTTTTTTCTGCTTGTTAGTAAAGAGGATTTTTCACCTTCCTCCACTATTGATTTTAAAGGACTTTTCCTCCCTGCAAAGCATGTGTCTTGTTTAGAAGACCATTTAATTCACTCTTTAATCAAAGAGGGAAGACACCAGAGTATTGGTGCCTGACATCTATGGCTGTATAGGAAACCGAGACACGCTTGGGGGATGTCTGCATCGATGCGGCTAATCACCACAATGCCACTTGGTAAACCAGCTACCCGGGGGAAATGCTAGCCAGGATGCAGATGGGCTTGGAGGAGCATTACCCTGGTCATTGACCCGTTGGGTGGATCCCATCTCCTTCTCGTGCCTCGGTTTCCCTACTGACTTTTTTTTTTTTTTTTTGGTCTATTTAAATTATAAGTGCTCACCCTGCCTGGCTATCTGGAGGTTTGTGTATATACAGAGGAGGGGCCTCGGTCTTTGCAGGCTTTACTGGTGCTGTCCTAATAATGATAATGGGTGTACAGTGGTTAGAAATGAGAACAGGTCAAATTGGTTAAAGCACACATATCTCAGGAGCTCGTCCTGAGATTAGCTGCATTAACAGCATCACCAGACCTGACAGATGCCACTGTGCATCCACTGACGCTTGTGAGGAAGCTGGTTTCTAGAGAGTAACTGAGAACCTAAGGATAAAAAAAAAAGTTCTAAAATCCTGAACTATTATCCCTAAAGCTCCTCTTAAACAGGGAGAGTAGTGACAGGTTTATTGACTGTCCTCCAGCCATAGTTCTGGCAAACCCTGCTTTTTGGTGATCCGTGGTCCCTCATGCAGTCAGTCCTGAACGTAAACATCCTGCAGCTCTCACGGCCCCTGAAGGCCATGTCGCTATTGAAGGGGAGGAGAAGGAAGGAAAAATGCAGTTTTGCTAGTACTGCTTGTACAAAGGAAAGACTGGCTCCGGTGGGGTTTAAGGCACCGTGTGCTGTTATCTGGTCAGATGGAGAGAGGAGAGGAAAAAAAAGCAGGGAGCAACATGCCAACCAGAATATCCTGGCTGAAATTCTTACACCTGAACTTTCCAGCCTAAAAAACACTTGTGTATAGCAAAATTTGTGTTCAGGATGCAGCAGCTGTTCCAAGCACCAGTTCCAAACAATTTCTGTGGTAAAAAGCCTTAGTGAATGCCCAATATAACCCAGTTTTTCACCAAGAGTGATGTGCCAGTAGGGCCAGCACACAGCACAGGCTGTTTGCTTTACTGTTCCCAGGTGTATCATTGTAGGCAAGTGTGTAGAGGGTCCTTAATAACACTGCAGCACACTTCAGCATCTTGCTTTCGCAATGAATCTGTCTCCTGTGTTCTCCCTCGTGGTGCAGCACTCCTGAGCGAGGCATCCGTGTGCCGCTGGGCCCCGGGGAGCAGGTGCGGGCAGAGCTGATGTGCTCAATTGGAGTCGAGGATGGATTCCTCCTTCGGACTGAGATCACTGGCTTGTGTTTGCTACGTGGAAAGGCAAAAACATCATGTGCTTTTTGATGAACTGGGTCAGGGAGGAAGGGATGCAACCTGATGGGTGCAATCTGAAATTAGCTCCCCCCTTCCCCTGCCCCTAGGCTGTGAAGTCTGGGAGGGAGCTGGCCCTTTGCAATGGCCACAGCAGCACCAAAAAACAGCTGGAGCTGAGCAGGGCACAGGTCTGCTCCTTCCCTGGGAGTGCAGGGGTTTGGCAGAGCTACCAAACACAGTCTGAGATAAAGGATCCCTCCCTCGTCCGAAGCGGACCCCCTTAACTGAAGGGGAAGCATCAGAAAGGTGAATTAAAAGATACACTAGCCAACAGACAAGATGCTGTTTCTGCGGATTCTGCCAAGTCTCTTGAAGACAAATTGTTCCTTGCAGCAAGGATGGAAACAAGGTCATTCATAAAAGAGTAATTGATGTCTGGCCGGTGACAGCCCTCCGCGGGGCTTATGTGGCTGCCTCCTGCAAAGGGAGCAGGCAGCAGCCTGTGGCTGGCTCCGAGGAGCTCCAAGGGTCTGGGAGATGGTGAACCAGCCTCAACCCTTCCACATTTTGTATGCAAACTACGCATTGCCTTTTTCTTTTTTCCTCCAAATGTCTTCTAATGTAATTAGAAAGTTGCTCTTCCAAAAGCCTTTTGGCTGGGAAGGGAAAAAGCAGTCTATAATTCATTTATAAGATGGTCTAGGAGCCATGTAATTGCTCCACACCGGCTGGATGGAGGGGGAGCTTCCCAAGGGGCTGCGTCTCGGTATTCCCAGAGAAGCTAGACAGAAATAGAGGGAGAGCCAATGCTGGAGGTGAAGAACTGAGATGTGGGGTGGAGCTGAGGAAGGTAAGATAAGAAAGAGGATTTTAATCTGCTGAGGTTTCTGGCCCCAGAGAGATGTCATAAGTGCTGGAGCTGGTGGAGGAAGGAAAGAAGAGCACGGGGGGAAACGAGTGGGAACAACCTGGAGTTGTTCTCACTCTCCAGGTTCATGGTGGGTCCTCTCGATTAAACCCTTACTGGAACCATGTGCGGAAGAGCTTTCACATTGCTATCAGTGCTAGTTTTTTCATCTGCCATAATTTTCTCTTTTTTTCTTGTCTTTGAGCTTGATTTTGGTGAAAACATTGACTTTTTTATGCTGTTTGTTTGGGGAAGAAGTTGTTGGAGGAGGTGCAAAATGCAGGGTCTGGTCCGAGTGAGGAGCAACCTGAAATGCCTGCGTAACTTCACCTCCTCCCCCCTCCAATTTGTGCTGTACCTGGAAGGGTTGAACCGCCCACCCCAGCTGGGTTTGGGCTTGGTCCTGCCATGCTTTGGTCCATGACATCTTGCCTTGAGTGCTCTTCCCCATCTTCGCTACTTGTATCCCCCTTGTCACATCAGCATTTGATCAGACTTTCCTCTCCTTTAGGGTCCCGTTTCTCCCGTTATTCCATTTCAGCTCCTGGCAAGGCAGCAAGTGATCTCACCACCTATATGGCCAGGCAGCTGCTACAAAAGTAAAAGGAGAGATCAGACATACATAATTTAAGGGTTTTCGTAAAAGCCATATCAGGGTTCTCCCCAGCGTCTGATGCAGAGCCTGAAACAAGGCAGCCCCGGAAGAGTGGGGAAATGCCAACAGCAGTCTTGTTCCTGCAGCAAAGCCCCCGGGCAGGGCATCATCCTGCCACGAGCAGAGAAACACAGCAGGCAATAGACGGACAAGAATCAGCAAAAGGCAGTTTATTGGCATGTTCACATTCATTTCCAGGATTTAAAGTAACACATTTTCCTTTCTTGCTGCATATGGAGGAGTTTGGGGCTTCTTTTTTTTTTTAAGCCATACTTTTTAAGCAAAGATTTTTTGGTGAAGCAGAACTGGTAACAGCAATGCTCTTCTTCCTCTCCTTAAGCTTGAATTTGGTAAGCTTTCATGAAAGATTTAATCTTTTTTAAGTGATTTCAGCTATATCATACTATTACAAGATTCATAGAAAAAAATTAGAAACCAAAATAAGCTGCAGTCAGTTTCCCCTGCTACATGACTTTCTGTTGGAAGAGGGACAGTTTCACAGAAGAACCTGTAAGGGCAATAATTTCCTACTGGTTCTTATTCATCATCTTTTGCCATTCCAAGACCAAGCTGTGGATTCATATTTGATGAGCCCATTTGGCCTTCAAACGCTTTACAGGCACTTTTATTCTTCCTTTTTTTAATTATTTTTTTTAATGTGAACAAGATCCTTTGGTCCAGCTGTCACAACAGGCAAGCACTGTTTACATCGGGGGTTTTTTTTGATCACATTTGTTCAAATAAAGAGACAACGCATCTAACTTCCAGCTCTGCAAGCCTAGGGAAGAAGACAAAAGTCAAGCCGCCTCCTGCATCGTTGCCATTATTGTTTAGACACTTCAGAGTCAGTTGCTGGCCTTGATTATATTTCTGTCATCCTTTTATCTAACTAGGATGGTGCTGATTTAAAGAAGGGGGCTTGGCCGTGCAGCTGCTGCCTTGCTAACAGGGTAAAGTTCAACTCCTTTTCCAGAGCAGCTTGCTCTCCATCCCGGTTACTCGCTTCTTTATGGACTATTCGTGTGAGTTTTCCCCTCTTTGAAACTGATAGCTGAGTTTTAAACGCGGGGGATTGAATCCCATGAGTGAGGAGGTGCTAGTGCAGGGCATGGTCCTGCTGCAGAGGAGGAGCATACTATAAATATAGTGTTTTTCTCTCCTTTTTTTTTTTCCCCCCAAAGAGAATTTGCAGAATAGGTTAACCGCTCCGCAGGAAGCCAGATGCTTTTTTGGTCAACGCCTTCAAATGGCCACAGTGTAATTAGAGGGCTCCTGACAGAGAATCACATTATTATCCATCTAATTTCTTTTAAATAACCAGCATTATGAGAGATATTAAAAGAAGGGGATGTTTAGCTCTAACTTTAACTAAACTTACTCAAAGGAGCATATTAAATGTGTCCCAACGGTGTTTTCACATGGCTGTTTTACTCCCCATACTGTAACTGATGGTATTTTTCCTCTTTATCCTCAGGGATTTTTCTGTTTTGCTCTGGCCTTCTGCGGATTAATCCCAGCTGCCTGCTGGAGATACACGCACAGCACGGAGGTAAGCGTTGGCTGCAAGGAAATACCACCAGCATCTTGTCAGATGGAGATTTTTTTGTAGCAATGATTTCTCCCATAAAAGGGACATCTGGTGGTAATTAAGCTGTCCATGCCGAGGTCTATCTCTGTCGCATTCGTCCTTTGCAAGAACAGGGCCACCTTCATCAGCTGCCTCTCTGATGGGATCGTCTGAAGGGAGAAGCCACGGAAACACTCATGCAGGGCAAATGCTTTGTCCTGAAGGCAACACAAAATGCAAGTCTCGTTTTAAATCGCTTTGGGATTTTTTTGCAGGGGATGTTTTGTTTGTTTTGTTTTGTTTTGTTTTGTTTTGTTTTGTTTTGTTTTGTTTTGTTTTGTTTTAATTGAGATGCTTGACTTTTGAAAAGTCATTTCCAGCCAGGTCTAATTCCTGCTAACGTCGGTTGGGACCCTCTATTCAAAGGTGGTGGCAGGTTGTGACTGCTCAGGTTGTCTCTGGCAATGGCCAGGAAAAACACCCAGGAGGTGTGTTTATTAACCGGCAGCAGTGGTACAGCAAAAACACTGGTGTGAAAAATGGTGGTTTGGTTCGCTGTCACGCTGGACCAGAAAGAGAAGATTGTATGAGGTTGAATTTGCCAGAAAGTTGGGGTTTGAATTGTTAACCCAGAGCTTGCTGGTGGTGTGGTAGATGGTGTTGGAGATACAAAGTGCTGGGGAAATCGAGTCGAGGCATGCAGAGTTGCCAGGGGACAGCCCCACGCATGGCAGTGGGTACCCTTACCCCGGGGCAGCAGACTGCTGGGGAAAGCAGAAATTGAACTTAGTATTTAGCAGCCTAAAGAATTTTTTTTAACCCTTTCCTAATTTGCTTTTTGTATATTTATTCCTATTCTCATTCAGAGGAATTTGTTGTTGTTTGGTCTTAATTCCCCTTCCTGCATCCCCGCACTGAAAATAAAAAACATTTTAAGAGACTTAGGCATGCAAAAAAATCATGACTTCTTTTTTTTGAAAGCAGAACACAGATATTTTAGGCAAGTATCCGAACTATCTAACAGTAATTCAGATAAGCGTTTGGGACTTTGCTAGATGTTTCATGCAGTGGGTCAGTCCTCGTCTCCATTTTGCTCCTCCCCCAGCCCCAGGCATGTGCCACAACTTGGAATGCTCTGGCCAGTGATGAGGATATGGCTAACGTGAAACATCATCCCGATGGATTAGGGTCACGTTGATGCTGCCAGCTCATCTCTTTCGGGTTACAGACATTGTGGGGGATTGAGGACTAGTGTGTCAGGAAAAGAGCATCAGAAGGGATTTCGTTCTGTGCTGGAGGAGCACTCCATCAAAACCCCAGAGACTCGATCCATGCTAGGACTGCGGCAATTGCACTTCTTGGGGACAAGAAGCCCTGGCCCATAACAGTTTGGTGTCCTATGCAAAAACTAAAATCCAGTCCTTTTGGGAGCAGAAGTTTAAAGGGCAAAGTCAAGGTTAAGGTGAGGGGTAAGGTCCTGCTTCTCTAGAAAGTTTGTCCAGAGCTAACCCGTCACCACAGTAGTTGAAAATTCTTTGAAATATGCAGATGGCTATGCTGGATCAGATCAAAGGTACCCACTCTCAGACAGGCACACCCATTGTTGGCCAAGGTAGGAGCATAAAACCCCAGTGAGCTCAAAGCAGTGCTTTTTCAGATGCCAACAGCTTGTGGCTCAGGTGCCTGCTGGTGGCACCTGCTGGTCCACTTTAGTGCTCTCAGTGGATTTTTCCTCCATGAATTTGTCCAGCTGCTTTGGAAACATTAGGGTGAGTGCTGACGGCACAGCAGCATCTTTTATCTCTACACTTACCTGGCTGAAGCAGATTCAATCAATGACATTGATTGAGACATCTATGAAAAAGTGTCTTTCCACAGCCTCTGCAAATATTTTCCCTTGTTTCAGGCGAAATTATCAAAATTTCTTATTTTCACACTAACAATTTAATATGGAAATAATTTTGTTTTCATGATCAACATAGAAGGGAGGCCTTGAGCAAAGTTTCCTCCTTCTTCTGCAGAAGCTTGTAATGAGGGATTGAAACAAAAGCTGTGTTAGTAAAGGAGAAATGGCACCAGAAAGTGTGTCTGGTTGGTCTTGTGAAATTGCGTTATCCAAATAGATGATTTAGTTATACTTTTAAATCCACAAACATTGAGCAGGGTGTAAAAATGCCGCAAGAAAAAGTTGTGTATTGGATTAACACAGGGATGTGCCATTCAGAAAAATATTTTGCTGAAAATATTTAATTACTACATCGTTTTTACTTCAAATTATTGTTCCGCTTTTTTGCTTTGAGTGCCCTGCCCATAAATGCATCCATGTGTTATGATTAGCTTTAGTAGTTGGTTGGGTTTCTTTAAGCAAAACAGTTTCCACTAGGCAAAATGAGGGGTTTTTGTAAAATGTTTACTTTCTGGGTAAAGAAAACCAGCAGTGTTTCTGGCAACAAAAAAATTAAAATACCCTTAGAGATCATCTTGGGTTTCTCTGCTTTCTAAAATGCAAAGAGAAACAGGGAATATAAATGAGGAAAGATTTAATTAGGAGTGTCACTTACAAAACATATGGAAATTCGGTTTCACTTGAAAGATAACCTGTCTCACCAGTGAGAAAAATGCAGATGTGAGAGAGAAATGCAGATGAGAGAGAAATGCAGATGTGTCTGCCCCTCCAGGACAGAAAGACAGGTAGTGCAGTGGCACAGAAAGCCAAATGGAGCAGGGGGAAGACTCGTGAAGTCTCATTATAGAGCCATTTGTTTGTCTGACTTTCTCAAAGTAAAGAGCAAAATTAAAGCAGGTGTCCTCCCCCAGCCGACTGCATCGGTACTGTCAGAAATAGTTAACTGTGGTAATATGGGAGGGGAAATCAAATTCAGCCAAATTGACGGGTGTCTTGTAAGCCTGATGGGATGTACACAGCTACCAAGAAAGGAAGAGAATTTGGGGATGTAAAACTGAATATGGATGCATATGCCCATCACACGTGCCTGAATCAGTGCCTCTGAGAGCACCGAGGGGCTACTGCCCCCATGTTCATGGCTAAAACAAAAATCTGCATTTTTCCCATGCAAAATAGGTTGACTTTCCAGTGGAAATCCAGACAGAAAATCAGCCTGTTCCATTTGGAAATGCCAGCTGGGAGCTGGCGTCAGTAGATCCTGTCCTCACTCTCCCCACGGGTGAGGTGCCGAACACAGGCAGCGCTGAAAGCGGAGCTCTTCCCTCCCTCTGCAAGCCAGGAGATGGGAGGTCCCTCCTGCACCAAACCATGGCAGATGCTCTCAGTGGTTTACTCCTCTTGATCAAAAAAAAAAAAAAAATCTAAATTTCCTTCATAAAGCAGACCCTTCTTACAGAAAATCATCTAAAATGGAAAAGCCCAATTTTCAGTTGAAAAATTGTTTTGATGGTTATTTTCAAGAGGCAGTAGATAGAAGTATTGTTTGAACATGATGAAAGCAAGATGCCCTTTTTGCCTTTGTGACTCCTTTAGAGACCTGTTTACAGTACTTCTTACAGAGAAGCTATGCAGAACAGGAGAAAAAGAAGAGTTATTTGTAAATATTCAATATTCTCAGACATGGGCACTGTAAACAAAATGTGAAACTTCTCATTTCCCATTCCTTTCTGCTTTTGTGACCTTCTGTAGCTCCTGAACGAATTCTTTCAGATAGATGCCATGTGTTTTAATTTCAAGTTACCTGCATCCCAGATAGGCTCAGAGTCACCTGTCTTTATTCTTGAAATAACATATACCGGAAATGCAAAAATCATGAATCTGAGGTTTATCGTGCTTTACCCTAAAAGGTTGATCCTTCTGTTCAGCATCGCAATTATTCCTGCTCTATTGACCCATCCATGTGACCAATGAATGGGTTTTGTGAGGTTCAGGCCTCCACCGTACTGTCATCTCAGGCTGCTTTGCTACCATCTGTCTGCGTTAAAGTACTTTTAATGAGGAACTAATAAACTACTCATTCTCAAAGTATGTTTGCTTGGTAGGGTCTGCAAAGGAAATGGTGAACAAAATGAGGAAGAACAAATAAGTCAGAGTAACTTCCCAGATCCTCTCCCTGTCTTGCCAGCATGTATAACGCAGCCTTTCTGTTAGCGTCTACCCGCAGTTTACAAAGAAACACTTTGCCTCTTAGCCAACGGCACCAACAGAAAAGGTGCTGCTGTCACTTGCAGAGGTCTGAAAAGTTCTCTAGGCAGGTCAGCTGCTCGGAGGAAAATCTGAAATGAAAATATTTGTAATCTGGAGGTTGTTGAAGGACCTTTTCTCCTGCTAGCTGTAGTGCTGAGCCATTCATGTTTCAGTATTTTCTAGCTCGGCTTGTTCCTGAGCCCCATCCTCACCTGCTGGGCCCAACATTCCTCCTTCACCTCTGTCCCATCACGCTCTCAAGCCCACAGCTCCAGAAACATCCCAGCCCACCCTCCAAGCCCCTGTGAAACTCAAGTGTGCTTTTCTGCCTGGCCCGAATCACTTGAGAGAGTTGATCTTTTTCCATGTCCAACCTAGCGCAGACAAGGGTCTCCACAAGGGTGATGAGCATGCTTGGTTGCCCTCCCTATGGCCATCTGGCCAAAATGTGGTCTTGGTGGGAAATGTCATCTTGGTAGGAAAGTGTCACAAACCTGTCTGAGGATCAACACCGGTGGTGCAATCAAAGCGAATGAGAGAACGACGTACAAGAGAGGGCAGGGAGGATGACCTCTACACGAGCACCTTTGATGCAACAGCTGTGGTAACCACGGAAATGATGAGGGTTTTGGCTGGTTTTCAGCCACATTAGGAAGTCCTGATTCCTGAAGCCAAAAAGCTGAGTCTTGTTTTCCAAAGTTATTTTTATGGCAACTCCTTTACCACAAACCCCTACCTGTTTAGGTGAGGTCTTTTAGTCGTTCCCAGCACAGCCCAATGCAGCTGGGACCTGGGATGCGGAGAAGGACATAGGAGAGACTTATGCCAC